GACAAGAAGTAACGGATGGAAACTAATCAAAGAGGGAAGCAACCTAGAACTAAGGAGAAACTTCCTGACAGTTAGAACAATTAACCAGTGGAACAACCTGCCTCCAGAAGCGGTGAATGCACCAACATTGAAAGTTTTTAAGAAGAAACTGGACAGCCATTTATCTGAAATAGTATAGGGTTTCCTGCCTGAGCAGGGGGTTGGACTTGATGACCTCCAAGGTCCCTTCCAACTTTACTATTATTATTATTATTATTATTATTATTATTATTATTATTATTATTATTATTATTATTATTATTATTATTATTATTATTATTATTATTTGCTTCAGCCATGGATGAACCTGCAATAAGCATTTTTCAAAGAGTGTGGGCGTATCTAGCATACCTCCTATATACCAGAAATTACTATGGAGGGTGGTTGGGGGATATTTGAGGGTTTACAAGTCAAAACTATCGGACATGGCCCTGAAAATCTAGAGCAGGCAGATACAAAGGACAGATCTTATCACAAGCCCTTCAGCAGAGAAACCGCAATGTTTAACACTGCCCACGTTTCTCTATTATTCGGGTTATAGGAACATTAACCAATTTCATGCTCTTGAAGTTTTATTTGTTGTCCAGTTATATTTACTGGGGAGGAATGATGGGGGACGGGGGGGGAGAGAGAAAGAGAAAAATTTGTATTTATTGGAAGCATAATGCCTTCCCTCTGCTTTCCTGTTTTATTTGTCGTCCAGTCTGTTTGGCTCCTGGAAATCTCCAAGCATCTCCAAGCCGGGGATCAGCAAGGTTTGTTCTGTGTTGCCATAACGACCGTCTCCATGGAAATGATGATCCAATGAGAGAACTTTTGTAGACTCCGTTATGCCCCCTTCTTTATTTTATTTTTTTGCACCATTGCAGAACCTGCTTTTTTTTTGGGGGGGGGGGNCCTTCTCCCTTCTCCCTTCTCCCTTCTCCCTTCTCCCTTCTCCTTCTCCTTCTCCTTCTCCTTCTCCTTTTTTCTTCCCCCCCTTGGAATTGCATGAGACAAGCCAAGGTGAAGCCCCAAATTGGAGCATATTCCTCAACATGAACGACTTCCTGCCAGCCAGGAAGAGAGTGGGAGACTCTGGCACTCTGCCTTGGGCAGCTTTGAAAAAGCTAGAGATCAGCTGTCTGTCTTGCAAGGCTATCTGGGGCTTGATGCTGGCAAGGAGTATTTTTATAACTTATGGCAAGCCAGAAAGGGTGGGTGAATCTGCCAGATTTTATTTCACAACTCAGAAGTGGACCGCAAGCTCGCACATGCATTTTGTCCTCGTGCTAGTAGAGTTCCCTTGGCAAATATTGCATTGTGCATGTTGCCCAACTATTTTATGTGTGTCTTTAGCAACCTTCTTTTTGGGTGTGGCTGTCCTTGTTTTTCATCCATAATTCTTATTGTGAGAATTCTACCTAGTGAAGGCCAGTTCTGTTCCATGTTTTACTTCCCTTACCTTTAGGAAAGTTTTATATATGTATTTATTTATTCAGTTTCTATAGCCATCCATCTCAGTCAATGACTCCAGGTGGCTTACAATTATATACACACACAAACACATGTTTTCATTTTTTTAAACATTTTTTGATACTTTTTCCAAGTGTCTAAGTCCACCACATATTTTGGACAATACATCCCAAAATCGATATCATTACGGTGTTGATTTTGACAGATAAGCATTGAAACCTAAAATATTTGAAGGACAGCATTCCTGTAGTTGGTACAAACCCAAAACTCAGTGGTGTAACTTTGCACCTTCTATTCATGTATCTTAAACAAAACTGGGCTCACAGAATTTTTAATCTGGTGACATCATGTAAACATCTCCACCCTAAGCAAAATAGCGGGAGTATTAGAATTTTTTAATTTAATAGTGCTGTGATGTTTCATCTCAGCTATAGTGAAGTGTGTGTGTGGTAGTAGAGACTGAGGAAGAAATAATTTTGTATAGAGCGTGATTTCCTCTATGAAATCTTCATATTCAGCAACCTCGTTAAGATAATTATTTGTTTTGTCTTATAGACAGTATAAAAATACCTCTAATTCTACCGGTTACCCACCTGCAGAACAAATATAACTCAGAATTTAGTCTCCATCTGAGGTTCCTTAATTCTTCTGGATATCTCACAAGCAAATCATGTTGAAGAGGCTATCTCCTTTTGCTTCATCGGAGTAATGCTGCCTTTGAGCCAGCAGCTCCCTTACCATCCATGTTTGAGATGCTAAATAATTTGACATTTTCTAAATTGACCTTACATGACTCTGCATCTGTCTGAATATATCATTTGAAAAGCACCAGAATCGGGGAAGTTGCTATATAAATGCGTAATCAAAATTCTTCTTATTCTCGGTGTTTAGAAATGTGTCATTACTTCAGGAGCAAAAAAAAAAAAAAAAAGGCACCAACCCACAGGCCTATTTAGAGGAATTGCAAAGTTTATAGAAAGTTTTTAATTTTCTTGAGTACAGGTAGTCCTTGACTTACAACCACAATTGGGCTCGGTGTTTCTGTTGCTAAGTGAGACATCGGTTAAGTGAATTTTTCTCCATTTTACGATCTTTCTTGCCTCAGCTGTTGAGTGAGTCAGGTTTCCCCATTGACTTTGCTTTATCAAAAGATGGGATATTGTTTCTTACTGGGGCTCTGACTACTGTCTGGAATTAAACCAAAGTATTTCTACCTAATTCTATTGTCATATATATTGAAGTACATAGCTATCTTGCTATTCAGAGATCTGGCCACCACTGGAATTTGCCATCCTTGACCTAGTGCCATTTGGTAGTTTTGAAGTAGTTAAAAATACCCACTATTGTTTTTATTTATTTAGCGTATGGCATATCATACATGGACTAACAATACATATTAACATGCACACGGTTGTGCCTTCTATCTAATGCATTTTGCACATCAGTATCATTTTAATATGCAGTTTTATTTGAAATGTTATTCTATGGAGATTGATTTTTTTTAAAATCCACAATAAATCTGCAGTGATTTTTTTTTACTGCTTATAATCTGGTAACATTTTAAGCTACTCAAGTGCACTGACTGTTTTGCTTCTTAATGCATCCTTTTTCCTCCTTTGTTTCTCTGATATTTCACAAATTCTCATCACTGGGTATGCAGGAAAGTATGCATGCAAACGTTATTTGGTATCTAAGGTCTGCTCAGTCCCTTAATTTGGAGACCACTTGAGAACCTGTGGTATCTAAATGTAATATTTTCCATTAAAATATGTAATAGGATAATAAGTAGATGCGCTAACTTATATTTGGTTCCCAGTGAGAATTGACATAACTAGACAGAAACAAAAGGAAATTCCCACTTTAAATATTGCTCAGGTGTAATTTATATAAGTGGCTTTTTTTTAAGCAGTTCAACACCCACAGTTCTTTTGCATTAACCAAGCTAATTTCTTTTCAAAAGTGTTTGACATTTTAAGTTTGGTAAGGTGAACGTCTGGTTAGATACTGCTTTGCTACTTAGCGAGTTTTATACTTTCAGACTTGCAAAATTCTGTTAATGAAGCCTTACAATAAAGTAAAATTAGCTCATTTGGTTGCGTTTCCTGTCTGATCTAACTGCGAAGGCTGATATCAATCTTGCAAGTCTGAAAGTACAAATTGGCCACTGTCTCCCTTTTAGCCTGAGAACTAAAAAGAAGAGGGTCTCTTCTAAGACTCTGCCCCTTATGCAACTGCAGGCTTTGCCTTCTCTTATCCAGCCAATCCCTCGGCGGGTCTACAACAACTCGCCGGGGCCAACTCACCGCAGGGCAACTTGGCACGGGCTAAGAGTTTTACATTAATATCGAAGAAATGGTGAAATAGAATCATTAAAGAAAGGATGCCGAAGGAGGGACAAAACGAAATGTGAATGACAAAAATCAAAATATTTTTTTTAAATTATTTTAAATAATTGAATTGTTGAATTGTCCCTCATGACGAGTTTTCCGTGGCGAGTTAGCTGTGGCAAATTGTCCCTTTCATTCCCTAGGTCAGGGGGTCCCCAACCCCCGGTCCGTGGACCGGTACCAGGCCACAGTATGCCAGCAACCGGGCCGCACAAACAAACAAAGCGCTATCCGCGAGATGCAGGCAGCATACAATACCACACACACGCACCGGTCCGTGGGAAAACCTCTCTCCACGGAACCGGTCCCTGGTGCCCCAAAGGTTGGGGACCTCTGCCCTAGGCATCATCCCTTCACCCTGTTTCTCAAGACCTTTCTCACAAATCCATCACAGGAAGAATGGCAACTTCTGTAGCCCAGCCTTGGATGACCCCAAAGCAAAGAAAGTGCGGTGCGCCTGGATTTTTCAGTGACTCAGAAAGGGCAGCACCAAATTGTCTTCCGCCACTGTGGTCATCCAGCAGATTTAAACAGTAGAAGCAAATGCAGACGTCTTGCACGGGAAAGAGGAGAAACCTGAGTGGAAAGTTAGCTTTCCAGTCAAAACTTTTGTAGGTTTGTTGGGTCCCGTTGTCTCATCCTGTCCCCATGTTATGATTCTGCCTTTGGGTAAGAAGAGATTTCTCTCCCATTTACTAAGTCTGACTACACTTACACCTTTTGTTACGCTGTTTTTAACTGTTCCTTTTATCTTGGAGGTTGTCCAGAACTAGATAAGATTTTTATATCTGTTTGTGTGTGTGTGTGTGTGTGTGTGTGAGAGAGAGAGAGAGAGAGAGGGGGGGGCGGGTAGTGCGACTGAGTAACTTAAAGAGAGATAGCTGCCTTCTGAATAGAGACAGTTATTCTTGTCCGCCGGCATAGTCAATTTCCGTTATTTGTTGCTTTCTGCCACAGAGGACTACCCACTTGTCTTATTTCTGGGAAAGCTCCATAGTCCATTTTAAGCTGGCACATCAGCCAGCCTTTTTCACCTTGGATATATCGGAATAAGGTTCTGAATTTCTGTCTGTCGCCAGAATCCAATTGACCTTCCGTCTTTTTCTCTTTTCTCCTTAGGAAACAGGCACAATTCCAGGCAGATCCTGACAGTTACAATGGAGCTGTGCGAGAGAACTATACTTGGTCTCAGGACTACAGCGACCTGGAAATTAAAGTTCCAGTGCCCAAGCATATCCTGAAAGGCAGACAGGTAATGAGCGTATCAGAAGTTTTCTGGCTCATTTGGCTGATAGAATCCCCACCTTTCCTAATGAGATGCCCACTGTAGCTCTGTTTAGAATTCTTCCCTTGCTTCCTTCATGGCTATGAATAGTGATTCTATCCCTTGGCAGTCCAAACTTGCTGAATGCTGCAGCCGTTTCCAGCCATCCTCCAGCATTAAACAAGCCTGGATTGCCATTAGCCAGATTAAAATGTAAAGGGAAAAGCCCAGTGTATTGATTGCATAATATCCCAGGTCCCAATTCCTGGTGCCTTCAGTTAGAAAAGGTCTTGATAGCTCCTGGGATGCACACACAGCTCTCCATTCTTGTGGCGATTGTGTTGTCAAAATTTGGAAAAAAACCCCTCTGCTTTTAAATTAAAACTGCAGTGAGGAGGCCCCAATGAGCTTAATGCTGTTAGTTGCTATTAAAGCACTCTGAAACCCCTCAAAACATTAAAAAAATGGGTCAAAACTGCCCCCTCCAGAATCAGCCCTTCAAAGTAGGCCAGGTTGAGTAAACAGACATAGCAGGGATTCCAGGAATTCTCTTTATTATAGTAAGAGGTAAAGACCCTCCTTGGATATGGTGTTGAAGGGAACATTCGGGAGCTGTTATAGAACAAAGACAGAAGCATTCCTGAAGTCTGGGAAAGGAGGCAGTATTAGAAGGAGCCTCAGGCTGGCTACTCCCTGACTTAAAGGGGCATAAGAGCGAGAAAGATAAAACATAAGCCGACTTGCAAGATTCTGTTACTATAATCTACAGTACCCCTATAATCTTCTTCTGTGTTGATTTCCTGATCTGGTCTATCTTGTAAGGTTGGCAGCGGAATAACATAATCTTGAAATTCAAGTTCTTCTCTGTCCCACGTTATACCAAACAAAATTAAGGTAGGGTTATTATTACGGTTAGTTTTGAGTTTCTTTCTCAAGAAATTTCACTGCGTATGAAATGCAGAAGAAACATCATATATATGCACATTTATGATGGTCGCCAACCCCCCCCACCCACCCAGGACTCATTTTCTCTGGCGTAATTACATAATAACGTATTTACTTTTCTGACATCTTCGGTCAGATCCGATCTTTTCATGTGAAAAGTGAATCTGAAAGTCTTGATTTTGATTTTCCACTCCTGTCCATGAAAAAGTAGTAGAATGAACATCTCTGTTTGGTTGGAGACTATTTGCACCCAAACATCAACCAATATTTCGTTTGCCGTGATTATTGCCCAGCCGGCTGTTAAGATTTATTATTTATTTATTTATTTTACAAAATTTATATGCCGCCCTTCTCCCCATGGGACTCAGGGCGGCTCACAGCATATTAAAACATCGTACAAAAAAAATTTTCCCCTGCTAAAAACCAATTAAAACCCAAATATTGGTAGCTGTGGCTCTTTAAAATCGTTTAAAAATTGTCCCTATTTAAAACTCACCCTAGGTCAGGCCCGC